CAATTCTATTGTTGTGAGCCACCACTCGCGGTGAGGAGCAGGGGAGGGGGGTGGGGTGAGGGGGGGGGAGTTAATTGCTGCCGCATTCGCATGCTAATTTCAAGGACTGACGTTACCGCTCTTGTACACGTCAGCGCCAGCCATGTCATCACAATTACAGCCAGCCTGCAGGTCCCGAGATCGAGACCAAGTTCTACCGCAACGCTTGCGCGTCGCTGCCGAACATATTTGTAAGAGTATGGAGTAGATTTCGCAATTTTTAGGTGTTCTCTACTAGGTCCGCGCTACGAAGCAGAAAACAGAAGAGATAAATTTTTATATACTTCTCTGTTAGACTTCGAGGGAAACGAGTTGTGAAGGTTTGGATTGGATTTATCTGGCTCACGACAGGGTCCAGTTGCGCGCTCTTGTGATCACGGAAATGAACATTCGGGTTGCACAAAACGCGGAGAATTCCTGACAAGTTAGGGACTATCAGCTTCTTAACAAGAGCCCTGCAGAGATCGCCAGAGCTGCTGCATCTGCTGCGATACGAACCCCGTCCCTGGCCCTGGGCGGGCGAGCACGTCCAGTGCTGAGTAAAAGGTTTGGACGTCGGTTGGCGCACTGCAAATCTGACGACTGCATTGGTTGCCATGGCGACGCCACATGCCCCATGCTGAAAACATTGTCCTAGGCCGCAGCAACTTATTGTCCCCATCTGAAGGACAAACGTCACAGAAATACGGATCGTAACCGCAGCAAATCCTATTTTTAATTCAAACTCTCACTCCAGAAGAAATAACAATAACAACGCAAAAGCGCACGCGTCCATACTGGCGTCGTTCCGTTTAAATCAGTTTCTGTGTAAGAGAAAAGTTAATCATCTGTATTATAAAGCACCAATATTGTCTGAAACCTCTGTTGTCATGGTGACTGTACAAGGTCACAGGTCACCCACGGCAGGACAGTTAGCTCACCGTGGCGTGCTGAATTCTGTCCATATAGAATGAATTTATGTGTTCCGTATGGTTCTCACAATAAACAGCGACTGTTTCCCTAAACAGCATTAACCGGTCGGAGAGAGAGAGCGAAGAAATGGGGGTGGTAGTGAGAGACACTACATGGGGGGGTAAGAAACTATATCACCGATTTTGAAGGTTCCCAGGCAGTGCCCGCTTGTCCTTCTGGTAAAGATAGAGCATATGATCGGATTTTGTTTTATTTTTTTTTTTTTGCTAACGTTGGGAGGGCTATATTAAGGCGAAATTTTGGTGTTAACAACGGGAGGGCTGCATGTGAGGCATGCAGTGCAACGTGGAATTTGGGTACCAACTCAGCATTTGCTCTAGTACCGAGGAAAACCACGGAAAACCTTGGTCGAGCGGGCCGGTCTCAGGACCTTCCGGATGCAAAGTGACTTCTAGCCAGCAGTCCGGCTTAAATACGCGAACCCTAACATTAGACCCTGTGTGTCCTGTTCCTCTATTTTAAAAAAGTTTACATGTGTGTTTCTACAGTTTTTTTTTTTGCATACTTTGGATGAGCAGCAAACATTAATCGGTTGGGCTTTGTAGTGGAGACGTAATGTGTTTCCTGCGAGGTACGGACTGGATTGCTATATACACACATTCTGCCCACGCAGTGTATTTGTGTGTCCCGTGTGGTTCTCACACTAAACGGTGACTGTTTCCCTAAACAGCATTAACCGGTTGGGCTTTTTTATGGAGATGGAGTGTTTCCTGTGAGGTACGGACTGGAATCTTATGTATTATTAGGTGAACTATTCACGTTCAGCCCTTTCGATATTGATATCTACATTAACTCCGATCCTGCACAGTAAAGCCCCCGCCCAACTTCTCTCCTCTACTCATATCCAAGTCCAGTTCCTGACGTTTTACCTTCTTCATTTCCTAGAGCTTTAGCCTGTCTAAAAACGTGCCTCTACCAGAAGGACAAGCGGGCACTGCCTGGGAACCTTCAAACCAGGAAAATGTTTCCATCCTCCCCCTTCCCAAATGTAGCGTCTGACTTTTTCTTCTTTCTTCTTCTCTCTCGGGCTAAAAATGGTTACTGCCGCTGAATCAACTGTACACTTCACTTGATTTCGAATGAGATGGGAGAACGAGTCTTCCATTGAACTTTGGAATGTCGTGAGCAATGTTTAGGTTCATTGCTAACCCCTCTTCTTGATTGGTATTTGCGTCAGACAGAAACAAAGCTGCATAAAATGACTGCTGAAACGTAGAGCTAAAGAATACCGAAACCCAGGGAGACCTCGGGAAATGCAGAAAGCAGAGGCCTGACTGTCTGCGCCATGAGGAGGTGGGAAAGGAGAAAAGGAATATGGTCAGACTCATCTGGAGGGTCTGGGAAATACCACGAAATGCTGATAACTCGAGCTCCGCCCGATATTAAAACCGTTACACCTGTGTTAACCTGCTCGATTTTTTTTTTTGTTGAAAGGCGGCGTAAGGATCTGAACCGCGATTTACCATCCTGTAGCCCGTCACTTTACCGACTGAGCTGTCGCTTCCTAATTGGAAGCAGTGTGTTGCAGGATGCCACTTTGAGGCGCAACATTGGCCCACAGCGTGGAGCCTCCCCTTGCAGGAACATGCCATAAAAACGCAGTGTATCGAGTTACTCAGATTTAAGGACTGCGGGGTGGAGCGTGGGGAGAGTTGAAAGGAAACTAAAAGAGATTTAGGAAATTGGTGTCGGAAAAGAGCAATAAAATATAGCCTACAGTGCACCCCCTCCCCCCCCGTTCCTTTGCCAGCACCTTGCAAGATTAACAGTGTTCCGTGCCGCGCTGAATGGGGCGACACTGAGCGGCAGAATTACCACTTTGAGCCTATGGAACGTGCACTGCAGACGATATCCTCTGTTCGTCTGCAGCAGCCTACGTCACACAAGTCAGACCATGACGGACTTACTGAGGGCACTTGTCCGGAGCGACTGAGGAACAGCACACAACATTTGCCAGGATATACGGCGTCCCTTCTAGATTCCAAGGGAGCAACACCCGAGTTTGGCACGCGGAAGCCCTGTCGGACGCCAACAGGGCGGTTGGCCCGGAAGCGAGCGCAAGCACGCGCGGTGTCCGCCACCAGAGTGCAGGGCGGGCTAATCATTCGGAAATGCGAAAAAATAAAGGAAAACTAAAACTGTGAACGCCGTTCTTTATATAGGAAAAAAAAATTAAAAAATGGGGGAGGGGCTAAGATATGTTCGCTAAGCTGACGGGGCGACATTATGTAGAGTCTGGAAACCGCTGATATGAGGCTCAGTGAAATCTTCTTGCACGTTTGAAAGCTTCAAGTCAAAGTCAGGTTACGACCGACGGTCGGTCAGCCACTCAGTCTTGGTGTCAAGCCCCCAAGACAAGATTTTTGTTACTATTAGACAGTTGCGGTTTTTTAAGTCTCAGCCTGTCGGTTAAACTGCTGCTGGCCTTCGCCAGCACAGTCATTGCTTGCTTCGGTCTGCTCGAGACCCATGGCCAAGGTTTTGATTCCCCCCTAGACATGTACGTGTTTCGAAATGGGGCCTCATCTTCGACGGGGGAGGGGTCGGTCTTTCTATATAGCCGCTACGTTTGTTCTGAAGTTAATTTGATATATAAGATTCGAGGCTTTCACGGCGGTGACTATGAAGAAAGCAGACTGTCTGCTTTTACCGGTTCTCACGGTCTCTTTGCTTGCAGATTCTTATATATTTTTTCTTCTACCCTGAAGATGGAGGCGATACGTTCCTCCGAAACGTCGGTTAACACCACATATACACGGTGCCAAATCCCAGAAGACTGCTTTCTTCATAATTTGATATAGTTAAACATTCAGTCCGTACCTCACAGGAAACACATTATGTCTTCATAACAAAGCCTTGAGGAAAGAGTCGCTGTTTATTGTGAGAACCATACGGAACACAGATACACTGTTTGTTGCAGCAGGCGGTAAATAACCTGTGGCCCGTACACTACAACAGTGACAACGCATCAAGCTGTTCACAAGACCCGAAACCACTGGCGTTTCACACTACGCCATGTGCAGGGTGAAAGTGATAGCGCCCAACCCCGCATCAGCGGTAGGCAGTCCATTTCTTTAATCGACCCCTAAGTTCCAATGCGATAAGGGGTGGCAGGGGCTCATTCAGTGGAGGGAGGGTGAAAGCTTTTGGCCAGTGTGGGCACCCAGATAACATCCACACAGGATCGCGTTCAGGGGAGACTCGCAACACACTCCAATACGATTGGAGGTACCTGCGGTCGAGTCTTGGGCTCCCAGCAGCACGGCTAAGCCTCCTTACTCGTAGCATCGGAGGAGAAGTGTGTTTCCTGTGAGGTACGAACTGAATCACTATATATCATTTAGATGTGCTGCTGGCTAGAAGTCAGTATGTGCAAACCGGAAGCCCTGCGACTGGCCATCTCGACACGGGTTCTCGTGGTTTTCCTCTGTCTCCAAGCGAACGCTGAGATGGTTTCCAAGTTCCGAGCTGCTACTGCCTGATTCTCGTGCACCACCCCACCGATTTTAATGCATTTTTATTATTAAACTACTCTGCTGTAAAGGCCACAAAATTATTCCCCCAACCCCCCAAAAATATGCATTTCACCATTACTTTAGGAGATCAAAATCGAGCGATCCCCTGTCTCAAGCCACTGCTTCTTAACCTTAATAATGACTTCAGTTCCCCCTCCCCCGCAATATGGCGTCCGTCACTTTGTCTCTATAGCACGATATAAAACCCCAAATTGTGTTATTACTAAACTCAGCTCGGTCAGTGCGACATGCAACTTTAGGGGAATGAGCTCAGATTGGACATGCAGCGAACTTTGGGCAGACAGTGGACACTCGCGTGAGGCACCTTCGTTTCACGTCTGCCTTGTCTGCATAACCAGGCTCTGAGTCCCACAGTTTGCCAATTCATTTAATTTACGAAATCGAACTTACCGTTAAATAATGCGACTCAGTAACCAATGCTAAAATGTTTGTGTCACTGTACGAGATACGAACCGTGAACCGCCGGCACCAGACGGACAGCCACCGTATGTCTCGAATGCGCTTCCCCATTGGCAGACGCAACACGACGTCACTGTTGTTGAACGCTTTCAGGACGGGCGGGTCCCTGCAAAGAAGAGACAACATCAGTTTGGTGCCTTGCTGTCGTCTGGGATCTGACGCCGTTTAGTCTTGCAGAAGTTTACCAACATGTCTGAAGAACGTAATGTCTCCATCCTCAGGGCGAGCAAGCAACAGGCGATCCTGAGTAAACTTCTACACATCTTCACGGTGCCACATTCAAGAATATACCCGTCACAATTACCGCCATTAGAACCCCACGTGTGTAGCCAATGATTAGTTTAGATGAAAACGGTTTAACTCGTAAGTTATTATGAGTTAAAACCATTTTAACCATACAAACCATATCAGCAGCATAAGCAGTATGACCATGCAGGAGACAAGAATTGCATACAACATTTGTAAAAAACAAATAAGGAAAGAGACCATTTGGAAGGCCTAAGCGTAGATGGTAAGGTAAAGTTGTTCCTGTGCATAACTAATTAAGCAATACGCCATGAAGGCGTATGGGGGGGTGGATGTATAGATCCATACTTCCTTGACCTCGGCACTAGCTGGAGGTGAGTGGTCAGCTTCACGCCCCAGTCGATTTACCCCCGGGGAAAGAGCCCCCCGTACCCATTGGATAGGAGGTTGGGTGGGCCCCAGAGACGGTCTTGACGACGTGGAGAACAAAATTCTTGACCTTACTGGGACTCGAACTCCGACCCCTCGGTCGCTAGCGTAGATGATAATAAGATATTAAAAATGTACCACAAATAAACGGTGTGAGGCGATGGTCTGCCCGTAGGCGTGATTCTTCTCTCACGGAGAAATCAGCTAGTTCGCGCATGCGCAGTGTCGGCTGCTCGGTTCAGTTGCTCGCGGCAGTCAGGGTGCCTCTGCCCAAATGCTGTTACAGTTAATCTCACAAAACGCCACGAGCACGGGTGTTCAGAACTTGTTGAGCACGCCCACGCCTCAGCACGTTACCTTCCTTCCTCTTGGAAATGATTTACATGATAACTCGGGGGGAGGGGAGGAGACTGAGTACAGTGTGACGTCCTAACCTTGACCATGGGTTGCGCGCAGAGAGCGAAGTATCGTGCAGTTAGTGAAGAAACCGCAAGTAATGCAATAGAACTGAGTAACGTGACTTGCTCACCTACATGTATACTGTATATTGACGAACTCGAATCCCAGTGCGCACGCATTCAGCTGACGGCGGCCACGCCTGAATAGTGAGACTGTAGACTGTAGCTGTTATTAGACACTGTGTGTCGGCGAGTGGGTGGGTGTGTGTGTGGGCGTTCATTCTTCTGCACCAAGAGTGTAGCACCGTGAAGTAGGTGGAAGAACATTAAATGAAGCTTCCCTTTAACATGATGTTAAACATAACTGGACACTACGAGGCCAGATAATTGCATCTGCTCTGGACACACAAGCGAAGCGGCCTTTCTTCCTGCATTCCTGTTCCTTGTTTATCTACGATTTATTTAGCGGTGGGATAGCTCAGTCAGCATAGTCACACAGGCTACTGGCTGGAGAGCAGAGAGATCGAGGTTCACATCCCGAAAGGGAGAACAGGGTTTCTCTCCACAGCATTCAGACTGGGTCTGGGGCCCATTCAAACTCCAATCAAATTGGTACCGTGGTTTCTATCTGCGGGGATAATGCGACCGGGGCGTGAAGCTGTGCCACCGCCATCCACCGCCGAGGTCAATGTGTACAGCTATGCCTCCAGTTCCCCCATACGTCTTCATGGAGTGGGGACACCTTCAACTGCGCTGTCAGTAACTGAAGACTGTTAGGATGACAGTGAATGGAAGGAAATGTGTGTGTGGGGGGGGGGACTGAAGAAACTCGCGGAATCCTTAAGTCAGGATATCCGCGAAGACGTCAGAGGGGCGGTATCGGTTCGGTTCGGTCCGCCCGTGGCGTGGAGCCCCGCTGAAATGTTCAGAGCGGATCGATATTCTACGCCACGCGAGACTTCCTTACAGTGAACAGAGGATTTCAGCTGTGAGTGTGTTCATGGGACGGCTCACCCCTCCCCTTCATATCAGTCTGCTTGACGCCCCGGACGGCGCCCTGCGTCCTACACCGACGCGCGTAGACGCAGCGTCTAACACAGAACGCTGTTACAGCACGCCTCGTACCACTGAAGGGTTGTGATGCAATTTGGCTCAGCACTTTAAAACGCAATGGTAACTGTACGTACCACCTGCTTCAACATTCATAAATTCTGTATTTTGCCCACACAGTGTATTTATGTGACATAGACTGAGGGTGTTGAGGAGAATATTTGGACCGAAGAGGGATGAAGTGACAGGTTGGAGAAAACTGCATAATGAGGAGCTTCATAACTTGTACTCTTCTCCAAGTATAATTAGAATGATCAAGTCAAGGAGGAGGAGGTGGGAAAGGACATGTAGCACAAATGGTGGATATAGGATATTGGTGGGAAAACCAGAAAGAAAGAGACCACGGGGAAGACCAAGACGTAGACGGATGGTTAACATTAAAATAGATCTTAGAGTGGGTGGTATGTTCTGGCTCGGGATAGGGACCAGCAGAGGGCTGTTATGAACAAGGTAATGAACTTCTTAGTTCCATTAAATGTTGGGAAGTTCTTCAGTAGTTTGCGACTGGCGACTTGTCAAGGACACGGCTCCATGTCATTCTCGCGACGGACAGCGACTGTTTCCCTACACTGAATTAACCGGCTGATATTTGTAATAGAGTGAGTGTGTTTTCTATGAAATGGGAACTGCGTTCTTAAAAGCTATTTACACGAACGCCAGGCTTCAGGGGTTGGGACACAGTTACGAAGTGTTTATGCAACCACTTCAAACATCGATGCGACATGTCTGCAACTGGAGCAGACGCATGGTGGCGTGGGTCCCGAGGGGTTCATTGTCATGTTCACAAAAGCCCGCCAACGGTCCCTACCTTGAGCCAGATGAATCCAATTTCTTTCAGATGCATTTTAATATTATCCTCCCTTCTACACATACATGGTCTCACAAACATCTTGAATGCATTTGTCATTTGCATGTCTCGCTCATGTTATCACTTGCGCTTTGTACGAAAATTATATTTGGTGATTTGTTAGCGTATATTGGAAGGGGGGGGGAGTTGGAGTGGCTGAGGCATCTCGTAAGAGGGGGAGGGGGAACAACGTTGAGATGTGTGAAAGATGATGAGAATGATTTACGAGAACTGAAGGTGCGAGGCGAATAACAGGGGAGAGACATACATTTGGCGCAAATGAGACAGGACTGCAGAGCTACAGAGACAGTAAGTTAATAAGGAAGGAAGGAGTGCAAGTTATGAAGCTCCTCACAGTGTAATTTTCTCCAACTCGTCTCACTTCCATGTGAATTCCTCGGCGCGCTGTTCAGACACTGGTACGAGGAAGCGACTGTACATGGCATGTAAAAACCTGGCTCGCTCCGGCCTGACAATCATCCCCACTGATCCGCGTGCCTCCAAGCCCGAGCTCATGTGATTCCATTTGAGGGGGAGCGAGTGAGTTTATCGGATTCGCGGAGGAGAACAAGTGCCGACATGTTTCTGCTCATTGTCAGCTGATTTATTCGATACATAAACAGCCTGCCTGCCGTCTTCCCACAGGGGAGCCCCCCGAGTCACCTGTCCTCCCCGCCGGCGTCTGACAGTGCGATCCACATCTCCTTCAGGAGCACAGAATATTTTGTGACGCCGTGTAGTCCGATAGAGAAGTTCAACGTTTCGGAGGAATATAACTCCCCTGTCTTCAGGATCAAACAGTAAGCCAACAAATGAGGTAAGAACCACGGCTGTACGTGGTTTACTCTTCGACCCTGAAGACGGAAGCAGTACGTTCCTCCATTACGTCTGATAACCTTTACCGGACTGCACGGCGTCACATTCCAGAAGGGAACGTCACACACCTGGTCCCTCAGGCCAAGGAAAGATACAGTTGCAGGATGTCCGAGATCGGGGTACTTTGCACCTGAGTGAGGGCAGAGGAAGTGAAGGGGCGGGCGGGGAGGTGTAGGAAGGTGAGGTCAGTGGCGCAGACGGGAGCTTCAGTCACAAAACCCGAAGACAACAGGCCACTTGATAGACGTAGGCGGAAAGATACTATTAAAATGGTAATTCATTACATCACTGACGCAATAAACAGTCACTTAATGATTTTTCTACTGCTGTCCACTATTTTCCTTTTCTCAAAATGTAAATTGGGACAAATGCAACAAGACCGTAAAGCTGGAGCCCCCACCCAAATTCACGCAGTCTCCACAGGCGTTCTCTATTTCGGAAGTGGCGCTAGTATCGCTCCCACCTCATAAGTTCGCCCCCATTATACTAACGATTGAATGAAACTGGGGTGGCCATCAATGACAACAGTCATATCAGGTTTAATGAAAATCCACAGAGCGGTTACAGAATTCGGACAGACGGACAGAAACAGAGAGACAGTGCTTCTAGCACAGTACACTTTGACCTGACCACAGAGTGTAGAAACATCAGGGAAAACGTGGCGCCTGCTGCGCCAGCACCATCTACTTCACAGGGCAGAAATGCGCAGCCGCAACACAGCCATCTTGTCTTCCCATGTTCGACTCCTATTATGCATGACGAGGGCCTTACAGCGGTGAAGCCGTGCACCGGCAGTTCGGGGCAACTTACTGCCTCCATCTTCACGGTCGAGCAAGGAGTAAGCCACGTAAGCTGTATGAAACAAAAAGGTAGAAAGTAGGGGTCTGTCTGTTTCTTCCCGGGCGCTTGTCTACTTCGACCATGCGGATGGAAGCGATATATTGTTCCGAAACGTAGGCAAACTCTTATCGGTCTTCATCTCATTCTATTTAATCTATTTAAGATTTCTGCACTTTCGTGCCTTCACGTTACCGTCTCAGCTGCTGCCATCAGCTACACACAAACCACAGACTTGGGCTGCGGACCACAGAGGACAGAACATTTCCGTGTTTGTGTGTGGGTCGGAATATCCCCCCCCCCGCCCCCGTCCATTTCTCAGAGAAGCTCTCACCCTTGATTAGAGACGAAACAATTACAAAG